AAGGCCGCGCGTGCGCAAGAGACATCATGCTATTGGTCAAGTGCATGTGTCGAGACATAAGATGACATAATAGACCAGTGCAACATATGCCATAGCACAAAACGCACCAGTGCAAGAAGAAACCACTACTACCATATCCAGCGCCAAGTAGACCCATCGGGCCAATAGTTGGAGACGGATCTATTTGAGTGGCATTGCATTGATTATACCCTTTGGGGCTCTGGCTTGTCGACACGTGTGAATACCGCACATCTGTAGACTGGTTTGTATACGGGGGTACTTAAACATTTAAACACAAGACCTGGTGCGACCCCAGGGAACCCCCTTTCAACTCGGCAACTTGGGTTACGGGTAGATCCGCCCCTGGTACATAATCCGGTAACGTCCGGCCTGCCGAGCAAGTTGCCGAAAACATTTGAAAAACGAACCCCCCCAATATATAGCTGGCTACGGGCCTGTAGTAGTACACACAGGTGTGAGCTTTATAATTATATAGTATAGTTAGATACACTTATAATAATAATATATTATATATATATAGTATATGTATAGACATGTAGTATAGTGGCTAACCGGTCACTAATACGTGTATGGAGCACCCTATGTCTATAGGCCTACTTACTAGTAGACTATATACTGTATATATATATATATTATAGTATTAGTAGAGGATATAATATCAGGAGCGTAGGCCTATATATGAACGAACATAGTCCCCTGTCCCTCGTCTCATCTGCTCCTGTCATTATAACGCTCGACTGATTAATGATATAATACATATATATTAAAATATATGACGTATATATATATATATACCATATATATATTATAATATATATTTACTTAATATATATATATATATAAATATATATTGATATTATATATATATAGAACCGTAACCCAAAGTTGCGAGTTGAAGGGGGGTCTGGGGTCAGGCTCTTTTTAAAATTACACCCCCTCAGATGCGTTTTCTGCGCGAGCAAGGGGGGGGGGTCCGGACTCCCTGCATGGACCTCCCCTGTACACGCCCCTGCTCGGGCGCAAAGCGACCAAGCGACCGAGCGGGGGGAGGGTGTGGGAGGGGGGTGTTCACTGTTCACCCTCCCGCACGATGGAGATTTTGCAATTATTACACTAAAATGGAGCGACCTGAGGTGAAATTCTTGCAAATTAAAAATAAAAAATTTTTTGGCTTGGGGGGGCTCGGGGGGTGGTTCGTTCGAACCCCCCGAACCCCTCCCTGGCTACGGGCCTGCTACTATACTGCCTACTTTATTTGGCGGCATAATTAATAGGCTACACCGGGTTGAGCTACTATATACCAACGCCGAGCATTTTTCTCGTATTCTCGATATAAACTTGCTAAATATATATATATTAAGCACGCATCAACCTGCCAATACGCGAAAACTCAAGACAAACGGCCACAAGATGTCTATTTTTTTATTTTTTTTTATTTATGCAATTATCCATCATATACAATACATAGCATACTTTTACAATAAAATTCTGAATTTATAAAATTGGATAACTACAAATATATGCATATATAACAAGAGTGCATAATAGAGATCTCTATTATGCACTCTTGATATATAAGGACACAAACAGCATGACTAGCACACTTATTTACACTGTGGACCTTGTTTTGCTATGCCTTGAATCTAACAATTACACGTACTACTATCAGCACTAACTATTGAAATATACAAATTTGTAGTTTTAACCGGTCATACGTATAATGGTACATTCTCATAAGACGATACAAACTTTTCTTATGCCTAATTTCAACCTTTTACATGCCGTGTTTAAATACTTAGCTTTTCTGGAAAGAAATTTCAATCTATTGTTAACCTTTTTTACAACCTTAATTCCCGTTACCTCACCACTCATGGAGTCTTCCAAGTCTATTCCTAGATACTTAACTGTATTTTTATGTGCAATTGCCACCCCATTACATCTGATGTGCAGATTTGGATTATCCCTGAGTTTTTGTTTAAAGTTTTTAGTTTTTAGTTCCAAAAATAATACTTTCTGTTTTTCCAAGATGCAAGAATAAATTAATATTATTGAGCCATATATTGATGGAATGCAATTCTCTGTCACTTGTCTAGTGTCGCCAGTCGCGAGTCGCGAGTTGCGATCTATAGTCACGAACTGTATATATGTATATGCATGTACCGAGCGCATGCAGTTGGTCGTTCTACCCATAGATATAATCAGGAGTGTATAATACACCTATCCATACATACACCTATCCATACATACCTCCTATTATACACTCCTGATATAATCAAGAGTATATAATATATATATATGCGTGCGTGCGTGCTTGCGTGCGTGCGTGCGTGCGTGCGTGCGTGCGTGCGTGCGTGCGTGCGTGTGAGTGCGTATGAGCGCAGAAATGATTTTATAGTTTAGCGTAATACTTAATTGTACATAAAGTACTGTCGTTATATTTTATTATGTTTTATTATATTTTTCTCTGGTACGTTGTACAACGTAC